AGGGACAACTGAAGATTCGTGCCCCCCTACTTGCTTGCCAAGGATGGAAAAGATTTAATTCTAAAATATCGTAACATCAGTTTGGGCGCCCCTCGGATCTGTGCCGGGGACAGACGTCCCCCCCTCTAGATAGCCCCTGAAAAAACGTTTCTTCTTAACAGTGTTCTCAATTTCCTGTACGCATCGCAGAGAGGGAAATTCTGTCCACCAGGTTCTGTCGCCAAATCCCTTGGCAAAATTTCCCTCCGCTTTCTAGCTGCGTAATAGCATTTACATGTATGGAACTTTATCTTCTTTACATAGACGTTCTTTTGGTTAAATAATCTCCATGTATGGTACAGCGGGATTTGGCAACATGATGATGAGCAGTAAACGGGTCATTTTGTTCTTGGCAACAATTTTCAAAATCGTGTGAAGGCCGTACCGTATACTAAGATTTTACCGCAAAATATTTTTTAATTCTTTTCTTTTTAATAAATACCTTGTCATTTTGCAGTAAAATAAAAAAAATAGTAATCGGTCATCTAGGCTAACCATGTAATATAACTATATTCGCTAAAACATCGTTGATTATTCTAATTCAATTTTTAAGTAATTATTTTATTTTTATGTTATTAATATCATTTAATGTTGCTTCTTCCCTCTAAATTTATTATCATTAGTAAATATATTCCAAATTTCAGAAATTTTCTCTGGCAATCCTGAAATTAATTCTAGCAGTATGATGACATCACGAAATTATGCACATATTTTTTCCTTATGTATGCTGCGAAATAATATAAAATCCCTCAATTTAGTAAAAAGTATCATTAAAGATTTCTTTCTCTCATTTAGCTGCCGAATGTCTGCCAAAAAAAGCTTATTTTTTCCAGATTGGGCAGATCTAATCTCAATCGTGCAGGGAGAAACAACTCCTATTATAATTATATTTGTGTTTTCAAGTGTTAAGGTGCCTTTTTAAAAGACCCTCACTCAAATTAAATTTACCTAATCTAACCTAACTTTTGCATTGCGTTGTCATTTATGAGAACCGAATTAGCTCATGTTGAACTGGTGATGATCATGGTAATAATTAATAAAACGTACAATTGTTATCCAATGTATATATCTTAATTTTATTAAGTTCTTAAGTGGAAAGTAACAAAGTTATCAAACAAAGTGTACCAAGAATAATTGAATAAATGTCCTCTGGGATTTATTGAATAATTAAGTGAATTTTCTACACGTACAATAATACCATAATTAATTTACCTCTTAGCACAGCCAACGTAATTACGCGGATAGACTGGAATTTTCTCGAAACATACCTGGAAAACCTGGAAAAGTCAGAGAATTTCATTCTCCTGTTTGAGTGGTGTTGGTGTATTTAATTATGGCAAAGCACACGAGGGCTATCTGTCTAAAGGGAGGGATGCCATTTGTGGAGGACTTTCTAAGGGAAACTGGCTCGTATACATGTTACACATGGGGAAAACCACGAAAACGCCCATGCAGCCAGCCCGTTTGCGGTATTCGAACCTGAGACTGAACTACCAGTGTTCAGCGTCTTTACCGCTTGGCCGCTGGTAACCCCTGTTTGAGTGGCAACCCTGTATATATATATATATGTATATAATATATAAACCAGAGCAAAATGTCCACTACATAGTTATAGTTAATTTATGAAAATGATATTTCATGAAAGTCACTAAGTCTATTCTTGACTTCAGCTTTTGCACTTCATTCCAAGTTTCTGCAATGATCTTCACTGTATCAAAATGATGAATTTTAAAATTTCATGTTTTCAGCTTCAGTTATCACTTTTGAAAGTACTTTTTTTGACATGAATCAAGAGTTCAAGTCAGATTTTAAAGTAAAATGAAGTGTCAATTTATTTTCGTAAGTGGTGTATATTTTGCTGTCACTTTTTGTTTTTTCTTTCTATTTTAGCTTGATTATTTTTTATTTCTTCAAGAGCCTTTTTTTTAATGGAATCTGTTTAAATTTTTTTCAGGGAACATGAACTTAAATTATTAGTAAAAAAAAATCTTTAAAAATAACCTTTTATGTTGAGATTATGTTTGGTGACATTTATAGACTTAAGCCTACTGCACTGCAAAGTATTGATTGTGTTAGCAGGAAGAAATGTAACAGAAATTTCTTTCCATATGCAAAAAATAGATTTTGTAAATGATATTCATAGGCCAAAAGATTACATTTAGTATTGCCTGAATTAAAAATAACTGATTTGTTAAGCATTTAGTATGGAAATTTTCTTGGTACTCTGAGAAACCTCAAACATATGCAGGAAATAGGAGTTATTATGGTAAATAACTAAACTGATAATTTTCAGCCTTTACTTTTCTAATATCTGAAAAGAAGGAAGACACAATTTAGTGCATCAACATGGCTTTTGTTGCCAGTGTCATGATATCACACCGATATTGTATGGCAGATGTAATCTGAGAATTAAGCTTTGCTAAAATTAAATGCTGCTTTGAAACATGTATGCTTTTAAATGCAGAATATATCTCTTCTGATAGTAAAATAAGTGACAAAGATGTTGCTGGGAACGAAAAAGTTTAAATTTAGTTTAAATTTAGAAAAGTTTAATTTTATGAGCATTCTTCACTCAGCAGACAGGACACGAATACAAACTTTGTAAGAGAACAAAAAATTATGCGATATAAATTAAACAACTTACATGAAAGAAATGTTTAATAAAGGAAACAAATAAATATTAACCTTTTTTATGTAAATTTTGATTCCGTTAAGATCACAAATGCTTCATTGTTTCATGAATAGCTCTTCCATATTTTTTAATTTGTACGTGTCATCATACTAGACATAAAATGATGGTCTAAAATTCAGAAAATTCCAAAATTCGGAATCACTGATGTTTCAGTGAGTCTGGATCTTGGATTTTGCACTCTGTATGTATTTCTCAGATCAGAACTAATTATTACTTCATAAAATTAGCTTACAGAGTATTCAAATTCAAATTTTTACGATTTTTTGGTTAGTAAATATGAATCTAATTATGCTAAATTAAAGCATGTATAGATATGTAAATAATCAGCACACTTACATATGAAAAATTTCTTTTTGTGTAGTGTGTTAAGAAATAAGAAGTGTATGCTTTTTTATGAGTATCCTGTTTGCTTTTTCAGCCACATTAACAAAAGGCATTATTTTTTTAAATACATTAAGAACTTGAAGATGATGGTATTAATGAGGTAAATTATATAGACTGCCAAATGATGAACATGCAGTTTTGATGATGTCACTTAGACAGAAAGTATACTTTTTGACAGGGACAATCTTGAAAATGGATTGACGAAATTCAAGTTACATTTTTCATGTCTCGAATGCCGAGTTAGGATATATATTAGATTTATATATAGCATTATTCTAACATAGGCATTCTGACGCAAAATCAGGCTTTTTCTGAAATAACATGCCAAGTTTTTTCCGTATTTCAATTCTACTACTCAAATTATGCCTAAATATTAAATTTTGTAAAATTTGGTGAGGAATTTATGGAGAAATTCAAAAATTTATCTTGGCGAATTTGTTTCAGTTTGCACCAAGAGTACTTGGCCAGAGTTTTCAATTTATAGCAACCTATTTCCTTTTCCTTTTTTTCATTGTAGATGAGTGGAAAAATGTCATCATTTGTTACTTCAAAATAATTTTAACAAAGTACATAAACCACATTTTATGGACTTTATTGGAAAAAAAAAAAAAAAAAAAAAAAAAAAACGCTGAATTCAATCGGCCAGTAGTTAATGATTTATATACTAAATAGAAAATTTTTAATTAAAAAATTCGTAATTTTTTGCATGTATGCCAAAAATATATCTACTTTAAATATTAAAATTTTATAGTTTTAATACAAATTTTTTTCGAAAAATTTATACTATTTAAAAAAAAAATTTTAAAAATAAATAAAAATGTGGAATTATATTTTGGATTGGTATTTGATTAGCTAAATTTCGAATTCTGAAGAAGGAATCAAATAAGGTTTAATAAAAGGGATATTAAAATATATATCAAATTCAAACTTGCGGAGCAATTTTGAGAGCTAATTTTTTAAAAACTATTCATGCAATTTTTACAAAACTTGACAGTTTGGCATAATTTGAGTTATTGAATGGAATTGTGGGAAAAAATTTGCATGTTATTTCAGAAAAAGTCCCATTTTGTGTCAGAATACCTATATTAGAACAATCCTATATATATAAATTTAATACATGTCCTAAGTCGCGCTTTCGGGGCATGAAAAACACAAGTTGAATTCCATCAATCGGCACAGTAGAACGGGAGATGTAGAACTGCCCCCCCCTTTTATTCCCGCAGTGTATATAAATCATTAATTTATTTTTACTGTGTTTAAAAGTATTTTGTTCAGTTGAAACCTTCCTTCCCTAATCAGAATAAAAGTGTAAGAATATTAGAAAATGAAATCAGTCAAAGAGCATAATATATAATTGATATATTTCATGTAAAAATCATAATATAAATATTTGAATAAATGTACATACATGTATTGTTACAATTTAAATAAATTTTTTGTCCTTTCAAATGGTGCCACAGTGCAGCTCAAAAACCTCTCAGAAACTCCGGTTTTTAATATTTCAAGGTTGGCAGCTGATAGACTTTTTATATTTAAGATTACATTATGCATGAAAATACCATTATTCTCATGCCATACAGAAACATGGAATTGCAATTCACCCATTATTTCCTTGTGTATCAAATTTCTTCTGGCTTCTGTCAGATTAAATGGACAAAATGTATGAAGCATTAGTAGTAACATTATGAAAGTGCCCGTGTTATGTTTTGAAGATAAAACTTAAACTTCTTTATTATTTTCACATTTTAAAGAAATAGCGAAAATTATGTGATGGTAGTTTTGATGAAATATTATAATTTAGGGATGTAGTATTTAAAAATATTCAAACTTTGTGTTAGTTTCAGCGTAATGTATGTGTATAAATTGGAATTTTTGAAATTTTCAGGTTTTGGCCGTCTTCATTACTCACAGGTATCGTCACTTGTGGCTGCCTTTGAAGGAAAGAGTTTCTCTTTTATAATATTTAGAAATATGGATATTTAAAAGAAATTATGGTCATAAATATTTATTTCATCACGCTTCAATTACTTTTGAAGCATCATGTGTTCAAGATGTGAAAATGTTCAAATTCATTGTTGCTTTTTCCATGCTGTTTTTAGTTACAATTTATATGCTCAGTTTTATTAGTGTAAATTTACTATTTTTATCTTGCAGTGCTATATTATGTGTAGAAATTTAATAAATTTTTGTGGAAGAAGTTTCATCTTTTTCTGTATGTTTCAGCATTTTTAAAAAAGTATACTACTAAAAGTGTCTTATTTATTTTTACTTAAAAGTGTCCTATTTATTTGTGACTAAATTTCACCATCATTTCACTTACAGTGAAATATAACTATAAATATTGCAAAGGAATGAATATGTGAGCCAGATTAAAATTAGGCTGAACTTTCAATTTTTAAATAATTTCTAATTCCATTAATGAATTGTAAATAAAGAAAAATATTTCTGATTTTAATACAGATGCATGATGATAGAATTTGAGCATAACGATGTAACTGCAATTATGGCTAGTTAAACCCTTTTCGTTTCTTGTAGTCAAAACATTCATGTGAAGTGCTAAAGACACAGGTTTCTTTTTCCTCGTTTTCATAGAATTATATATAACCAATGAAGCAAAGTAATGGATGATATTTTAGCAGCACTGAAATGCTGAGAAGACTGTGTGGATTCCATTTGGAAAGTTGAGAATAGTACACTTATGGTTTATCATTATACCTATTGTTTAATTAAGGTTTCATTTCACAAATTTTAATTTTTTGTGGCTGAAGCATCATGCATCATTACGTGCATCAGTAGCACTGTAAAAGACTTAATTTAAACATTGTATAAGGATTAATTTAAAATCATACAGTTTAGAGGGATTTATTTTAAGCATGTTATTATTTTTAGGACAGAAAGGAGAAATAACCAAATTGAATTGGAGATTTATCAGTCTATTATAGGTTAAAATTAGGATTTTATATTATGTATTCTTTTTCTTACACTTATTTATCATAGTAGTATTATCACATTTTTTCTTCTCATGCATTTTTTCGTTCTCTTTTTTCTCTTATTTTTTTTTAAGGAATGATATATGTGTGGGTCATGTTAGATCACAATTACATGCTTGAGGATCGTAGTGCTGAAAAGTGTAGAAATATGTAACTAAGTATTTCAACTTTTAGCCTTTAGAGGTAGCAGTCTGCTTTCTTTATGATGTAGGGTAAAAGTAAATTATTATCTGTTCAGAGAAAAATGTTTTGCATGAAGCACAAATGATAAACTGAGATCCAATGTCAATTTTTAATTTATATGTGTGGAATGTCTTAATACTGGATAATATGGAATGTACTAAATGGAATTAAATATTGCTTCTCTTTCTTCATAAACTGGTTCAATATCAGAATTCAACTAATTTGTATTCTTTGAACATTAATATGCCTTTATTAGACTGCATTGTTAAATACACTGGAGTAGAATTCTAAGATCTTTCAAATGTTCTTCTGAGGATTCCAATTAATTGGAATATTGTTTAGAAGAGCATACATGAATGATAAATCTCTGGTAACTTCATACATTAAATGCTGAAATGTAGCCACATTATGAAGACCAAATTGCATTGCAGTGCTTTCATATGAACCAAATTGTTATAGTTGCAGTTTCGCGAATATTATCAGGTTCAGTAGCATTTGATGATGAACTTCTAAAAAATCAACCCGTAAAATAATTTTTTAGCCTTAGGATTCGGAACATAACATCAGAAATATTTGGTACCGTACAAAGATCTGGCAATGATGATCCTACAATCTACAGTGATCCTATAATGTGTGAACATTTAATACTCGATATTCACCTGCTTCTCTACAATCAAGGCATTCTTTTTTGGGGATGGTGCAACAGAGAAAAATAATTTCTTTTTAAAGACCGAAATCAATCATGACGATATTCCACTTTTGCAGTCTTTATTCTATCTATGACACGATGTTAAGGTTTTGCATTGACAGATGGTCCAAAGGTTTCTAAGTTGTGAACATTGTGTTTAGTCCTTTGATTTAGACTAGGAGGTTTAATTATATCTTAAAAAATTGGAACAATAGTAGGTGATATTAAGCATTTCCTTTAAGTAACTCAAGTGAATGAGTTGCTAATAACTGAGTTTTCTCTTTAGATGCAAGATGAGTAACATTAGCAACTAATCTTGCATTATGAAGTTCAGCCATCAGACTAAAATTGAACAAAATATTTTTGCTAATAATAGCTGTATTTACATCTCCAGTTAGAAAGGGCCGTTTAACAATATGGCATAATTGAAAAATCCTGTGTCAAAAGTTTTTTGGCCATAAACTTGGATATGTGATATATTTGCAGCTGTTAAAGTTATTAATGATTATCAGATCCAGTTTCTATTACATATATTAAATTCATGCACCTTGTCTTGGAAATAAACAATGAGAAACTTTTGCAAAATAAATGCCACCTTCCCCATTTTTTTCCCCTTCTTTTGTGAAAATTAAGAGGTGAATTGCTCAATTTGGCCTTTTTTTAATCAAATTAATGATTATAGTAATGGTAACTAGAATTTCTGTATTTTGAAATGTTTTTAGGACAAGAAAGGATACATTTACATAATTATTACTATCAGATTTAGCATAGATTAAAGCTTTAGTTTCTCCAGCAAGTCGTTTTACTTCAGAAAGTAACTATTGGTTGGTTGAATTTCCTGTCACTGCCGCAATCGTAACTTTGCTAAAAAAAGTAGGAGTTATTTTTAATAATTTATCTGCAACTTCTGCTGGTTTTTCAATTGTAGAAGTATAACATCAGCTAAAATGGATTGGTCAGTTTGGGAGAAATTATGTATAAGCTTCATTGGAACGAATCTGCACGTCTCTTCATATAATGTAGAAATTCCGACTATTTTCTGTCACCAAGTGGCTCACTAGATAAGAGTTTACGAATTTTTTGTCATGGCGAAGCATCAGTGCTTTTAATAGGTTCTTGTTTGAGATGCTCATATGGGTCTAGAGTAATTAGAATATCTCAAATTATTGACTCTGCTTCTGGTGGGAAATTTACTATTATATGGGTTTATTTGGTATATCATCAGCTTAGTTTTGGAGCACCAAAATGAAAGTTACTTTTATATACAATGAGTCATAACATAGGGTCACTGAAGTTATGTAGGTATCTTATTAGTAATGTTAGACATTTTGATGGAAACTTATTAATATTAACTATAGTGATTCAGAGATAATTTCCGAGTTTAAAAACAAAATTCAAGAAATTCGCGAATAAACATATGATCAGTATGAGACTCCGAGTGGCTCACCGTTGTGGCGAGTTTTATGAGAAACTGACATGATTGCATTACTAAAGGCAACTGTTTAAACCCAACTAACATTTACTGAAACCTGGCAAATTAACACAACCCAAACAATTCTTAATGTGCACTCCAAATTCTGTGGCATTCACATTGATGAGACTCGCTGGCACATTGAGGATGCATATGCTAATACTCATGAAGTTGATTGTTGCTACAGTTTACCTTCATATCTACCTTAGTTTAATTTTATTTTTCATACTAAACTGTTTTAAAATAGTTGGACCTGTCAAGCTTTTTTTTTTTTTTTTTTAAATCTAGTATCGTGAACATCCATGGATTCCAGTTCCCAGAGTAGCTTTATTTGTAAATTTATATTTTCTCCACAAAAATGTGTGTGTCATATAGTATTCGTTCTACTTTCATTTGAAATATCACCCCTTGGAAAGCATAAATTTTATGTAGAATTATTTGAGGTGTCTAAATTTATGATTCCAGGTATTGTATAACTTCAAATCGTTCCATTTCCATAAAGATTTTTAATTATTTAATATATTGATTCCCCAAGTAATGCATTTCGTAAATCCTTACATAACTGGAATTTTATTTAAGTAGAAATTTGTAAGTTAGTAAATTTGTAAATCCTTACATAACTAGAATTTTATTTAAGTGGTGCATACTATAAGTTCGTCTATATCTCTGAATCATTATTTGGAATAACAGGAAGAAATTAATAATTTATTATAAAAATTAGTTATAAACAATACAATGAGTAGTGTCGCACAGCTTAAGCAGAATGCAGATATAAAAAATTTCTTAGTGTGTGAGATATATCGGCAATTGCCAGAAGTCACTTGCTGAATAAACTCGTTCTGCTAGATCTCACAGCTGAATAGCAACCAAAAGAGCAATAACAGCAACTTGTCCGAGCTCTCTCCAACGTATTTATGTAGACACGAATGTACATTTTAAAGATTGCCATTCTCAGATCAACAAAATCCGCAGTTACGTATCAGAATAAACACAATTATAAATGTAAACTTGGCCACAAATAATACAGTAAAAAAATGTAAATATTTAGATATATGCGTGCAACATGCGGATACAGCATCATCCCCCCCTAAGGACTGCACATCAAGGGCAATGCAATCTCCTAGACCAAGGGCAACTAACCCTGATTACCACAGTAAAGTTCAGGTGTAGTAGAAGGAGTTCTTTGGATATGCCTCACTTCATCATTCAATTTTTTTTTATCACATGCACGTTTGGGTGAGATCCTTCGATGTGTGTTGGGGTTCCACAACCAGGCTTGATCATCAAGAAGATTGCCCTGTATGGGGCAGCCACATGTGTAGAACCAGTGATTAAAAAAAAAAGCTTCATGCAATCTAGCAGCCCTTCCTTCTCAACTTCACAGGAAGCTACAGAACAGCATCAAATGCAGTCTTCTTTCAAATCCTTAAGAGCACTCCACTTTTTATATGGGCCAAACATGAATTCCACAAGACAGCAGTACTGCAACTATGAAGAATGGCCACTAGAACTCCCTAGAACTTAAGGCAAAGAAATACAAAACGCCGGCACGCCCATAAGAGCATCACATTAAGCATGAAAAAGATGCAAACGAAAAAAAAAAAAAAAAAAAAATGCCCCCACTTCTACACAGATGGCCCCGGCGTAAAAGAAGTTAAAGGCAGCACAATCAAAATTTGCCTGAACTCCAAAATCGGCATTTGAACAAAACAGTTTTTTCTAAGCGGAATCAGTAGCACTTTTGGAAGCCATAAAATACAGCATCACGAACTCTCTAAAAACATCATATGTTCACAGACAGTCTTTCCGCGATGCATGCCATCACAAACCCTCACCAGAGATCAAAATTAATCGAAGAGATTTAC